CGAGAACTTTTCGATACTATAAAATTGAGAGAAGATATCTTAATTGCTATGCAGAAACTATAACATAAGTAGCACAGGTCGGGGAAAATCATTCTAGTCGATGTGTATTCGTTATTGCTTCCATTGTCCAAGTATATTACGACAGCAAAGGTGGTCATGATAGTGTTCTTGAGAAAAATTTCTAATTTGTTTATCTCAATTATAATATTTACTTCTCTAATCTCAAATATTATTTGTCAATAAAATTGAATTGATTTTTAGATTTTACCATAATGTTATGAAATGATTGTTTAAAAAATTATTATACTTATATTCAAAAAGATAATAATCTGAAAATATTTGCATAATAAATAAAATATATCATAATTCAAACATAATTTATATTTTTAGTTCAATGAACTTATTCATTAAAATCATTCTCGTGAAGTACAATATATCTTAATATGTATAATTTCAGTATTTATATTTTTTATTAATTTACAAGTCTAATTGTAGTTTCTAAAAAAAGTATTATTATCCATTTAAATTAATTCATATTGTCACAAAATACATGAATATTAGATAAGGTATATTAAAAATTTCAAACTCGTAAGTTTCTTAATCTAATAATAAGCTACTCTCACCTGATAATTTAATAAAGAATATTTATCTCAACCTTAATATTTTCTTTTCCTTGGAGGTTTTTAGGATCTTGTAATTATTTATTAATATTTTATCAAATTAACCTTAAACTTAACCATAATGTTTTAAAATAATTACTTAAAGAATTGGTTTTTTACTCATTAATTATGAAAATCTTATAAAACTTATATTATTAGAAAATTTGTCAATACACTATCCCTATAAATTTTATAAAATTTTGCTTAAAAATTATACACTTCTATAATATTTTAAATTCACCTGCATTTGAAATTATTGGGAATCACTAATTATTCTGTGGAACAATATGCCCATCAACTTTCTTAATACTAACATGTCAATAGTATCTGAATATTGAAAATGTTTATCATCTATACGACAAATTAATATATATACATATAAGTTGTTGTATTTTCACTATTATTTCTATTTTCAAATTATTAATTTTAAAGAAAAAAAATCTTGTCCTTGATTAAATATTTTACTTTCCTAGTTTCCACCAAACCAACCTTTGAAGAAGGAAATAGCCGGTGAACCGGTGCGTTTTATGTCCTTGAAGAGAGGAATAGGAGAAATTATATACTGATATTGTTTCTGCCACATCAGCAGTGAACTTAACCAATAGTTTTTGAACACGTTAAGTAGCTTGATTCACGCCTAACTTTAGACTCGACGTCACTAGATAACGCCTCCTCTAAAACCAAATGTTGCTTTTTCTTCTTACATATTTTCTCTCCTTCCACACGTTTTACTCATACCAAACAGTTCATTGCCTGTAAACCTTTTTTACTTGGAATCTGACATTCTTTGTTCATTGATATTGTTTGGGTTCATTCGGGCAGTTTACACAGACTTATCTTCAATGGTGATTCAGAGAATCAGAACAAGGCAAGTCAACCAAGAGGTAAAATCTTGATTCTTGATCTCCGTAGCAAATCAGATCCTAGCTAGAGAGCGGCTCTTTCTCACGACTAGGGGGTTTCTAGACGAGACTAGATAGCAAATCAGATCCGTCTGCCGTCTATCTTTCCCTTCTCTCTTTTCTTAGCAAAGTAGGTTCAAGTCAAACTTGTGGCTTGCTAAAAGCTGGGCTCAGGGACTGCAGTCGTCAGCTCGTTCTTGACAGATCCGATCGGGTGTTCATAATCTGGAGTAAAAGGATTCGAACCAAAAACCGGTGCGTTACGACTTGGCTATACTCCGTGCGGCCTGTTTTGGACGGTAAGAACGAGAAGGCTCTACTAGGAGGGTCCACTTCATCGTTCCCACACGAGAACAAGAGGTAAATTTTGGATCTTGCTGTGTGGGTATGTCATTTCCTTCCACTTGTAGTTCTTTAGATATAGTATTTCATTTATTAATCTCACATTTAGTTTATATGCTTTATGATGTAAGTTATAAGTAGATCAATGAAGGGTGCTTCATCGAATGGTGAAGGAGATTCTTGCGAGATTCTGATCAAGGACATTGAAGAAATGATAAAAAATCTGGAGTTACCCACATCGCCAGATTGTTCTATTTATAGAGTCCCTAACAATCTTCGCAAATTGAATGAAGAAGTCTACACTCCTATGGTGGTGTCTATTGGCCCTTTTCACCATGGTGAGAAGAAAGAACTTAAACCCATGGAAAATTTTAAGCTGAGATGTGTGGAGAAAATCCGTCAACGAACCGGAATCACCATACGGGAACTTGTCGATGCTGTAAAACGGAGAGAAGATAGAATCCGTGGTTGCTATGAAGGAATCATTAACAAAAGCAGCAACGTGTTGACCAAGATCATTCTAGTCGATGCTGTATTCATTATTGTTTGCATTGTACAAGTATACTATGACAGTAAAGGTGGACATGATGCTGTTCTTGAGAAAAATTTCCAATTGCCCCCAGATTTGTTTCGCGATTTCATTTTACTCGAGAATCAACTTCCCTTCTTCGCCCTTGAAGACCTCTATGACTTAATCTTTCGATCTCGTCCAAATCACAACCACCCTCCGTTCCTGGAAATTGTTTGTTTATTCTTTGGATACTTCAACTCTCAGAAAGTAATCATCAGAAGAAAAGTAGAGCACTTCACCGATTTAATATGGGCATTTACTACACAGTCGTTTTCAAATTTGTCTTTAGAGAAAGGGAAAACTGTAAGTAGAAACCTTCACAGCGTGGCAGAGTTACAGGAGGCAGGGGTGAGGATTGAGGTGAGTCCTAACACAAACTTACTGGATATAAAGTTTAGGAAAGGAGTACTCAAAATTCCTCAGTTTCGATTAGAAGACATTACAGAATCTTTAATTCGAAACTTAATGGCTTTGGAACAATGTCACTATGAAGAAAACATGTATGTGTGTGATTATATGTCATTAATGGATGAGTTAATCAAGACTGCCAGAGATGTTGATTTACTGGTTGAGAAGGGAATTCTGGTAAACTGGCTAGGTGACAGCACTGCGCCAGTTACTTTGGTTAACAAACTGTGTATTAATGTCACTTTGAACCAGTACACCTCCTATGCTAAGCTATGGAGAGATTTGAAAGCATATTATGATCAACCTTGGCATGGTTGGAGGGCAACCTTGAAACATGAGTATTTTACAACTCCTTGGAGAGGTGCTTCTACTATTGCAGCTGTAATATTGTTGGCTTTAACTTTTATTCAAACTGTGTATGCTATCATCGGAAAATAAGAAGGCACATATACTTTGTATACTCTTAAATCTTATACAGGAGTATATTCAAACAAAAAAAATTAATTAATTAATAATTGTCTAAATAAAAATTTAATTGAATTTAAATTTATAAGAATATAAAAAATATAATTTTACCTAAACAGAAGAAAAAATTTCTGTTGTACGCAGATCCCTTCCAGCATCATCAAGTCTACAAAAATGTTCTTGCTGTTTGTCTTGATTTAGCTGGGTCTTAGGTCTCTTTCACTCATGATTGGTCTAGGATCAGATAATTGTGTTGATTATTTCTTTAAGCAATTTTATCACTCCCCTAATCAAGTCTAAATCTCAATAATATGGAACATAAGTAAATCTGATAGACAGTATATGTGCAAAAGCACCGATGGTTAGCCTAATCATTTATATGACCTGAAAATCTGTGCTTGTATAACAATGTTTTAACTGTTTTATTCTTTCACTGGCTTAGCCTAACGTTAATAAGCAGTTTGCAAATTGTAGAATGCTATGGCTTTCCGGATCTATGCAATCTGCTCCCGGGCATTTGATTCATCTGTTCCTGCCACCGACCCTCCTTCGTACAAAGCTGTTCCTTTAGGAGGGATTGTTACTGGAGCTATGCAAAGCATAATCCTTAGCCCTGTCGAACTCATAAAAATTTGCCTTCAACTGCAGAACAATAGTCATTCATCTTTCCTCACAGAATATTCATCACACTGGCCCAATAAGCGTTGCTAAAAAGCATATTCCGAACAGAAGGTCGGGGAATTTACCGAGGATTTACTGCAACAGTCCTCAGAGATGCACCCGCACATGGCTTCTGCTTCTGGACATATGAGTATATGC